ACAAAGTAATAATCATTTAACCTTCATTATCAGTACATAGTTTGTGTCTTTTAACACTGGGAAAGTCAACACCGGAAGAAAGGATCGACAAGCACCTCAGTGCTTAGCAGCATGAGTAGATTCAACTGGAGGTTTAAAAACCCGCTATCTACTCCAACAACCGATAGTGCTGGATGGTAATAAAGTCTGCCTGAAAGCACCTCTGGCAGCGATGGATAACATCACCAGATAGCGCTCCAGGCTACCGGGAATGTCTGGAGTTCCTCTGGCACCATGGGATAAACCAGTGCATCATTTATCACATTTTTGTTTATCAATATTAATTTTAATCAGTTTAATCATCTGACTAATCATTTATGTACTCTACATAACCATGACAACCATGGGCAAGGCTAAGACATTCCATGCACATGCTTTAATACACATTGATGATTTACTTTTGTTTCATTGTTTTGACCCCCAAGAATGTATAGGTAGGGAAGCAGAGTCTTTTACTCTTCTCTAGTCAACTGTGGGGAGAGATGTTTGGCTCTGACTTCCTCCAGAGTGCAGCATCATGAGGAAGCCATTTGTTAAGAGGTACTGGAGGACCATTATTGGTTCATAGATGGAAGTAAGAGGTGGACTCATGGTGTTGCCCTCTGGGTAAAGGGTTTAGAGGTGATACTTGGTAAAGTCTCAGAGGGGGGAATGTGTTGTGAAATTTTACTCAAAAATATTATGTATGGTAATAATTACAATCAATATGGTGATTATTTTAATGATTATTTCAATATTAGAAGTCTTAATAAAGGCTGTGAGTCTTAGGTGCCCCCTAATGGGCAAGTATGGTGCTTTCCATTGGGCAGCGCCAATGATCTAGAGTAAACTATTGAACTTTGGGTGACTTCCAAGAATATGTCAAGGATGGCACAAACAAGTATGATGAATGACCATGAGGACACCTGCATCTAGGGAGAGAGGATGAGACCAAGGTTGAAATGGAAAATGGTTCAAACTAGAAGGAATCTACGATTAGAAAGTAAACCAAAATGAGAACGAATTCATTGTAGCAAAACGAATGGGGCAAGACCAATCAGAGGCCGAGTTGTCAATTTTTGGTTGAAAAGACTAATAAGAACGAGGTATAATTATGGGTGCCTGGACAGACAAAGACTCAGATGCAGCGGCTGTCATCTCGGCTTTGTTGCTGTGACCTTCTTTCATCTTCGGAATACAAATTAAGATATTTTTGATGGAATCTGAGAGCTGTCTGACCCTGCATAGACAGCAATGCAACTGAAATGTTCCCAAGTCCAGAAATGTAGCAAGGAGATCTGTAAAATAATCCATGTGACATCAGTGGTTCATCCGCAATTATACGAAGCTACGAGAATACTTTTTGTGCGCAACAGAAAAAAAAAGACTTTATTCAACAATTCGTCTCCTCCGCATCACCTTGGCGCCATTTTGGAGAATATCCGCTGGACATAAACAGCGTATGCTGTTCAGTGTCAGCTGCATCACACGGATACACTGTTTCCATTCAGATCAATTCACAACAACGTAGGAAACAGATCCAGCGTGACGCGGCTGACACAGAACAGCATACGCTGTTTACGTCCAGCGGATATTCTCCAAAATGGCACCAGGGTGATGCGGAGGAGACAAATTCTTGAATAAAGTCATTATTTTTTTTTCTTTTGCACACAAAAAGTATTCTCGTAGCTTCGTATAATTGTGGATGAACCACAGAAATGGATGGCTCCATTTATGAAAATGTTTAGGGCCGCAAACTATACAAGTGTACCAAGTTTCATGCTTTTATGAAAAAGTGAACATTATTTTCGCATATCACCTGGACTAGATGGCGGGCTCAGACCTATTCTAGATCTCAGACTTCTGAATTGCTCTCTTATCAGATGGCCATTCAGGATGTTAACACTGAAACAGATCCTCGCGCAGGTTTGTCCTGAGGACTGGTTTCTGACAGTGGATCTGAAAGATGCATACTTTCACATCCACATAACCCCTGCCACAGACCGTTCTTGAGATTCACTTTCAAGGGAGTGGCCTATCAGTACACAGTCCTATTTGAACTTTCTCTGGCCCCTCGCAGTTTTACGAAGTGCATCAACCATCAATTACTTCGATAACTGGCTGCTCAGCCATCTGGAGCGCCTCGGGTTGAAAATCAACCAGCGCAAGAGTCATTTGTCTCCCAGACAGCAGGCAGTCTTTCTGGGGACTGTGATAGACTCTGCAGGCATGGCTTACGCCGGAACGGTCACTGGCTATTCAGCGACTGGTGGCATCTTTCAAGCCAGGGACTTCACCTCCCCTCAGGATTTCTGGAGGATGCTTAGCCTAATGGCAGCCGCCTCTGTGATTCATCAAGGCCTACTTCATATGCGGCCTTTTCAATTTGGGCTCAAAGCCCATGTCCTGTCCCATGCCTGGTGCCTGGGCCGGTTTTACGTCAGGGTGACCCATCGCTGTATCAAAGCTGTGGCCCCTTGGACAACTTCTCGCCTGTTCCAACTAGGCGTGCAGTTGGGATTGACCTCCAGGAGGAAGGTAGTTATGACAGACGCCTCCAATACTGGTTGGGGCGCTCTGTTAGAGGGCTATCCGGCATTCAGCTCCTGGTCAATCCACGATCTTCGAGATGATGGCAGTTTTCTGGCCCTGAAAACCTTCCTGTCAGGCTTAAGGGGGCACCACGTCCAGGTCAGATCAGACAACATGACAGTGGTAGCCTATATCAACCACCAAGTTGGTCTCAGGTCACGTTCCCTTTACAGGAAGGCTCGACGCCTCCTACTTTGGGCACAGAGCAAACTCCTCTCAATTAGAGCGGTTCATGTGCCGGGCAGTCTGAACCTTGGCGCAGACATGCTGTCCAGAGGCAATGTAGCTCCGGGAAAATAAACACTATATCCTCAGACGATTCAGGAAATCTGGTCTGTCTTCAGGAGGGCAGAGGTCGACCTCTTCGCCTCAGAAAACAACTCTCACTGCCTGCCTTATTTCTCCATGCAGCAAGATGCGCTGCCCTATGATTGGCCCAGCTCTTGCCTGAATGCCTTCTCCCCGATTGCCCTGCTTCCTCAGGTCATCAGACGGGTCAGGGAAGTCGTTTGCTCAGTCCCCCTTTTGGCCCCACTTTAGAAGAACCAAACTTGGTTCCCCAAGTTAGTGCAGCTGTCAGCAGCTGCCCCATGGACGATACCATTACGGAGGGACCTTCTCTCACAGACGAATCATTCCCTCAAAGCTGGACAGTCAGTCGGCAGAAACGACTTGGTCATTAATTTCTTGAAGGGTGTCCGGTTATTGAATCCTCCTCATCCTCAGACCGTGCTGACCTGGGACTTGTCCATAGTCCTGAGGGCCCTACAGGGCCCTTCCCTTTGAGCCGCACAGATTTTGTCTATTTAATCTGCCTATTTCTCCCCAAGGGTGGAAATGGTTATATCTGCAGTCCTCAGCTGTGCTTGGGACTCAGTTTGGCTCATGTTCTTTAGGGGTCCTTAACCTAGTGCTCCGAGACTGGGCTCGCTTCATTCGGCCGACCTGCGGCCCATGTCGATTAAGACCGCCCTCCTTATGGCATTAGCGTCGGTCAAGCAAGTGGGTGACTTGCAGGCACTGTCAATCAGTGCTTCCTGTCTTTAATTTGGGCCTAATGATTGTAAGGTCGTCCTCAAGCCAAGACAAGGTTATATACCTAAAGTGCTCTCAACGCCCAGGTTATTACCCTTCTAGTTCTCCCTGCTGCAGACGGTGAGCAGGGTCCCAATCCACTCTGCCCGGTTAGGGCTCTTAGAGTGTACGTGCACGCTGAGATAGGGAACGAGCGTTGTATCACTTGCCGTGCTATAAGCTGTATGCAAATCGATGACTGTCGCTTCAGTCGAATGATTCTGATGAAATGGCGCTCAGAGCCAACTTATATAGAGGTTGGCTCCGCCCATTCTGGCGGGCTAGAGCGCCATTGGTTTGTGCAGCTACACAAACATGAACAGATCAGGCTTCAGTACCAGTGTAAACAGGAGTTTCCCCATACACAACGCTCGTTCCCTTATATAGGGAACCGAGGTTACGTCAGTTATCTCACCTCGTTATAATGAAAAAAATCTATAGTTTCAAAAAGATATTATGAGAAGAAAAAAAAATCAGAACAGAAAATATTTTAATTTGATTTAGCACAGAGGTAAGTACATAAGTAGAGGTAAACAGAGGTAAAACCCTCCTCCAAAACCTACAGGTTCCTTTCCTTTTCTTGGACAACAATAGAGCAAAAAGAAAAACACGCCAGAAGATCCACAATTTTATTTTACACAATTTCAAATATTTAAAAGACTGGAAAATATGTACTTGCACTATGTATTCCTATGAACAACCATTTTTGCATGCCTGTCTATATTTAGATAGAAAAAATGTATGCATTTAGCAGAGGCTTTTATCCAAAGCGACTTACAGTGCATTCAGGCTATACATTTTTTACCAGTATGTGTGTTCCCTGGGAATTGAACCCATAACCTTTGCGCTGCTAATGCAATGCTCTACCACTGAGCCACAGGAACACAATTATAAAAACACTATATAGCAAAAAAAACAAACATTTTTTTCAAAAAGCATCACAAAACAAAAAAAAAAAGACTACAGTCATTGTTTGTCACGTGTGTGTTTCTGTTTAGTTCCTGTCTGCCCTTATTTCGTTCAGTTCCTGTTCTCATTTAGTTAATCATCGTTTATTTAGATCACCTGTGTTGTATTAATCATCTCATTAGTTCCCTTTGTTTGGGTTTTGCTTATAAGTTCTCAGTGCTCCCTTAGTCTTTGTCCGTTCACCGTCATGTTTAGTTTGCTCTTAGATGTTTGTGATTTATCTGTCTCCTGGCTATTCTCTTGAGTTGAAGTTGGAATTAAAGATTGTGTGCTGGATTACTCCTGCGTCGTGCGCTTGTCTCCTTAGAGCACAGTACCTGTGACAGATGAACGGACCTTTAAACAAGATGGATTGGGCTGAGGACCAGTTGTGCTGCCTGCAACAGGGTGGTCGCCCTCTGGAAAGGTATGTGGAGGAATTCACTGAGCTTTCCCATCAAGTGGGCTTGCCCGATACCTCTCTATGTGCCTGTTTTCAGTTGGGACTGGATGAGAACACTATTTTCCAGAGCGCCCTCCAGAGCCCACTCCTCAAAAGTGCCCTCCAGAGCGCCCTCAAGTGCCCGCTCCTCGAAAGCGTCCTCAAGTGCCCGCTCCTCCAGAGCGCCCTCCAGAGCGCCCCTCAGGATTCCTAGTTTTCCCCAAGAAGATTTGGGGGGGGGGCATATACCCGTGGCCGAGCCGGCTAAGGCCACGGGGGATCCGCCATGGCCTCCTGAGTCCCCTGTTCCGCCATGGCCTCCTGTGTCCCCTGATCTGCCATGGCCTCCTGTGTCCCCTGATCCGCCATGGGCCCCTGAGCTGCCAGCTCCGCCATGGCTCCCCGAACTCCCTGATCCGCCATGGCTTCCCGAACTGTCTGCTCCGCCATGGCCCCCTGATCCGTCCTGGAGGCTCTCCTGGTCTCCACCCTGTACCAGCCTCTAGGGCGCCCGCCCCCCCTCCCCGATGGTACTGTTACGGCGCGGGACGCGCCTTCTGGGAGGGGGGCGATATCTGTCACGTGTGTGTTTCTGTTTAGTTCCTGTCTGCCCTTATTTGGTTCAGTTCCTGTTCTCATTTAGTTAATCATCATTTATTCAGATCACC